CCTTCAATTACCTTCTTTTTTGAACTTTTTAATACTCTGTACTACCTACGTTACTTCAATAGTAGCTATGAATTTGTATCAAGCATGCTTATTTATTTTCTAAGATAAGTATTAACTTGTACTTTTTAAATATTGAATAAATTAAATAAGCACAATGTTTATGTATATTGCTTTTACTTTTTTAAGGTGGGAAAGACCAGCATTAATTTGGGATGATAGTTGTGAAGGTACTCATACTTTGCTCCTTTGTACTATTATTATATTATATTGTACTACTACTATATTATAGATATTTTATATTCTTAGATGGGCATTTGATTCAAATTAGATTATTCTCGGTATAAGTCTATAAGATATTTCTAGTAATATGAATATTTGAGCATGTATAATTATATTGCATAACTGTACTTTACTTGGTTCAAGTTAATTGTGCGAAAACCTTCCCTTTGCCATTTAAAATGCACACATGTACATGAGTATGTGTACTTAATAGAAACACTCCTTTTGTTGTCACCTATCCTCTTGTGTCTTGACCCTTACCTTGAATATAATATCAGTAGATGCTCAAGTATCCTCACCATGATCCTCATCATGATCATGACAAGATCTCCATTTCTCTCGATTCCACCTGGTATAATCAAAACTTTGTGGGGTTCGTTGTATGTTTTGTGTTTTCAATAGAAGTGAGATGGGAGTCACAACCAAACATTCTCCCTTTTAGGCATTGTGAGCTCATAACCAAACACACACACAAAGATAATGGAAGTGAACCTCCTCTCCAAACCAAATGTGTGATTCGCAGACTATATGATGAGGAATTTCAGGACTCTGTGGATGAACTTGTATGTTTTGCCTACATACCATTTAGTAGTCTGTGGCGTAAAGGCTATCATGGATAATATTACCCCCAATCATTATTTGGTATTCGAGGCGGCAATTCAAGATTTGGATATTTCACAGTAATTTACATCCTCCCACGTGCTCTGTCGGGTCAGAGTGTGGGGGCCCTTAAGGTTGAGAATTCAGCCTTTTTGGGGATAGTTATGTTGTGCATCCGTATGCACCATGATGTCGTTTTATTAAAAACGTGCATTCCACTTTAAAAAAAAAAATCAGGTTCGATTCCCCTCAACAGCATTATGTTATTCATTCATTCTGGAATTTTAGTTCATCGATTCTGGAATTTTAGTCATAGATTCTGGAATTTTAGTTCATTCATTTTGGAATTTTTAGTTCATACATTAGATTATGGAATTTTAGTTCATTGATTCTGGAATTGTAGTTCATCGATTCTGGAATTTTAGTTCATCGATTCTGAAATTTTAGCTCATATATTGTTGCTGAGAATCGAAACTGAATTATTTTTTTTTAAGTGAAACGCGTGTTTTTAATAAAACGACGTCGTTTTTGCATCCGTATGCACCATGCATGGTGCATACGGATGCACGGCATAATTTGCCTTTTTGGGGTAAGATTTGGATATTTCAATAAATATGCCAACGTGTAATGATACACCCAAATGGAGTTGTGGTTTGTTGTATACAGATGATGAATCAGTAACTGAAGCAATATGGAAAAAAAGGTGAACATATAGGGCTTGAAAATTATCATTTTTTCGCAGTTTTTTTTTTCTTTTTTTTTTTTTTTGCAGTTTATATTTTATTTAGGTTAAGGAATTATATATTTCTCAAGAATGGAACAAACTTTTGTAGTTCTTTCAAATTTCAATTACTAAATTAAAAAAAAAAAAAAAAAAAAAAAAAAAAAAAAAAACAAAATGCTTATGCATTATTATTGTGCTTCTACCTTTTAAAGGGATGTTTATTTTTCTTACAGGGAGATTGGTTCTAGTGAGAGTGATTCAGGTACTCATACTTCACCCAAGATTTATATTATCATACATATTATTGTATATTCTAAATTATATCGCATATATTTTATATTCTTTAATATTTTGTATGAGCACATATCCAAACAGCAAAAGCAAAACTATCTAAGAAACTCGACTTTGACAATGCTAATAACAAGTTTAACCATATCTAACATTGTCGATCAATTGTTTTTTCCTTTCTACTTCTGTTTTTCTTGAGTTTTTAATTTAACATTCTTATAACAAGAAAGTAACTAAACTGCTCCACTTTCAAAGAGAATTAGATAACACAAGGTGAATTCTATTTGCATCATTCTAATTGCTATTTACACCACCTATTTAATAGGTGTGATAACTTTATAGGTGGTGTAAATAGAAAATTGTTATTTGCACCACCTTCATTAATTTTAGTCAGACATTATTCTTTTAACAAATATTTATTATAAATGACACTTTTTCCCCTTAGGTATATGTTTTTAACACTTTTTCCCTCTTAGTTATTCATGTATCCACATTTGCCTCCTAGTTATATTAAAAGTAGCATGTTTTCTTCCTTTTATGTTTGATAGACATTTTTACCCTTAAAACTAAAAATTTCATTTATTTTTTCTTCTCCAACAAATTATTGTTTATATGTACGGATGGTCACGGTTCAGTTCAAACAATTTTTTTTTATTTTATTGCCAGTTCAAAATTTATTTATTTATTATAAATTTTATTTCTTATTTTTTTTAAAAAAAATAAATTTAATAACTATTTTATTGTATTTTATTTTTTTGGTTCTGAATCATAAGCAAAGCCAAAGGAAGTTTGTTTTAATTTGCAATCACACGTGTTATATATTACTCTTTCGAACTTCATTCCTGTTAAAAAGGAGAAAAAAGTATTGATTTCTTAGGCTTTCGCAGTCATATTGAAGTTGACAATCCATTACGTTCCAATGACATTTTAGAGTGTGATTTTATATCTAAGATTATATTTGATTTCTCTCTTTTTGAGGAATGCACACCTTCATTAGAGGACATATATACTGTTAGGAACATATGTATTAAGATTTTGATGATACCAATGTAACTTAGATCGTAGACCCCTAACTTTTTGTCATTTCTTTTGCTACCTTCGTTCTAGACGAAAGGTGCCATAACTCACCATGTAATTCGTGTTAAGATAGTCAAACACACAAAACCGAGTTATGATTCTCTAGTTAGGTCTACGTGAACGAAAGAAGATCGAAGGATTGAAGCAGAAGCTACATCAGCAAGAAAATCCACCTCTCGGATCTTCAACAAATGGAGAGATGCTCCTTAACAGGACGAAAGCAAACTTTCGTGAAAAGACGTTAAGTCCATAATCAGACTGCCACGACAAACCATCATCTCATAATTCAAGGAGAATGTTGTTTTTGTCTCAGCTGATGAATCATTCTAGGAACAAAATATCCTAAGGACAAGGAGCACACAAATCAAGGTGCATTAAATGCCATTATACCTCTTTTCAGAGCTAGAAGACAAAACTTGCAAAAGGTCTTACCTCCAACGACTACATGGTACAACCGCATTTAATGAAGCAATAAATGCACCAGGCTCTCCGGTTATTAACCACTGGTCCATAGGTTTGAAATACCATCTCCCTCCAACGGATGGATATTTCCTCTCCTATAAATACCCATCTTCTCCATTGTAGAAGTTGCTGGTTTTTATATCAATTGATCATGCATATTCAAAAGCTCTTTATACAAGTTCACTCTCTTAAACTTTTGAAAACCAGTATTTCAAGGTGTGAAGTTTACAAGAAGAATCATCAGTTTACACCCTCACAACCTTGAAGAAGTCTTGCATCTTATACACGTTGATCATCCATCATTCAACCAGTTAGCCAAGACTTCAACCTGTTGGAGAAACACGCAAATCTTTTCTACCAACCCTCAACTCTGAAGAAGACGTTGATAGAGACGTAGTAAACTCTAGGAGTTGAAAAACCTACAAGTAGCTGTCCGGCTTAGTGATCAAGGAAGCTAGCTTGGTGTAATTTGTACTAGGAGTGATAGTGCAAACCTTTCACGAGTTGTGAAAGAAGAGTGGAGTAGGCACAGTTGACCGAACCACTATAAAAATCTCTCGTCTCTCTCTCTTTACTTACTTTCTGCTTTACTTTCATGCATTGCATATCATATATTCTCAAAACCGAAATTTTTCATAAAATGAAGTTTTTAAGAAAATATAAAACAAATATAACTAATTGTGAAGGCACAACACAACTTTATTTTCTTATACTTACGATTCAGAACCGAAAAAATGAAATAAAATAAAATAAAATAATTATTGAATTTGTATTATTTTAAAAATAAGAAATAGAATGTATAATAAATAAATAAATTTATTTTGAATTGGCAATAAAATAAAAAATTGTTCAAACCGAACCATAATCATCCGTACATATAAATAATAATTTGTTGGAGAAGAAAAAATAAATGAAATATTTAGTTTTAAGGGTAAAAATGTTCACCTAACATAAAATGGAGAAAACCTGTCACTTTTAATATAATTGAGGGAGCAAATGTGGATAAACAAATAACTGAGAGGAAAAAGTGTTATAATCATATAACTCAGAGGGATAACGTGTACAATTTTCCCTTAACTAGAAACTTTTAATTCGATTGCTATAGTGTCCGGTTCAGTTAGAACCGAATCGTGGTCATCCCTACGTATACGCAATAATAATTTGTTAGAGAAGAAAAATAAATAAAATGTTTACTTTAACGGTAGAAATGTCAATTTAATATATCAGGGGGAAAAATCGTCACTTTTAGAATAATTGAGGGGCTAATATGCTAACATGAATAATTCAGGGGGAAAAAGTGCTATAAGTATATAACTTAAGGGGAAAAAATACCATTTTCTCTTAATTAAATTTTGAATTAAAAAATTATTAATTACATCTCATAAATGAGGTTTGACCAAGGTGGTGCAAATAGCAAAATGTACTCCCGTTTAGCTATTTACACCACCTATTAATTATTAAAAGTTTTCACTTTTTTTACAATTTCAAGATGCTTTATACCAACTTTTGGTCAAAGAGTGGTGCAAATAGCAACACCCTTACACAATTGTTATGATTTATGGTTTTGAGACGCATTTTCAATACTTAATAAAGTCATATCATTTATCGTCTAATTAATTAACTACTTTTCAATTCGACTTTAAAGTCACTATTCACAACGTAATATCTATAGAGAGAAAAATATTAAAACATGTTAAACATTTTAGTAAGTAATAGTCATAGGCTCTAAAACAGATGAAGATGAAGATGAAGATGGAGAGGGAGATGGAGAGTACTACCACCAGAATTCTTGTGCAGAGCACGAAGTTTTTCATGGCAGATTGGAAGTCAGTGCTTGAAAGTAGCTCCAGCATCCCCAGTTCGAGAACTGCAGCGAGCCACAAATGGGAGAAGCCACTACCGAGGTATCTTAAAATGAACACCGATGCGGCTGTTGATAATACCAATAACCGGATGGGGTGCGGCTGGGTGTTGAGAGATGAGAATGGCCGGTTCTTGGCGGCAGCTAGTACACCAGGTAGAGGAGCGTCGTCCCCAAAGGAGGCGGAGGCTATGGCCATAAGGGAAGCTTTGAGTTGGATAAAAAGGATGGATCTCCGCCATGTGCAGATTGAAAGTGATGCATTGCAGGTTGTTCAATCCCTCAATCATGTTCAGGATGTGTCTTCATGTGATCTTGTCCTTCTTGATGTTAGAGATATGCTACGCTCGCTTACCGCCGTTGCTATCACTCATATTAGTCGTATTGCGAACAATGTTGCCTATATTCTTGCTAGGGAAGCTTGTTCTATGTCTGTACGTATGGAGTGGGCTACCACCCCTCCATCTTTTATTGTAAACAATCTCTGTGCTGATTTAATTTAATGAAGTTATTTGGTTTTCAAAAAAAAAAAGGGAGATGGAGAGGGAGAGGGAGATGGCGGATCAAAACATACAGAAGATAGTAGTGGGGATGATGCAATGGCAGACAGTAATTCAGGTACTTTATTACATATACTATATTATATTACTCCGTATGGATATATATACTCTTTACGGAGTGTTTGGTTGGAGGGAATTTAAATTCTATTCCCACTTAATTCCACCTAATTCCAAAGATCACTAAATTTCTTAGTTTGATTGGAATGATGGAATTGTAATTCCCTCATTTTCATGAAATTAAAATCTCATGCCTCCTTGGGATTTTAATTCTATGGGTTTTAGGAAAAGAAATATAATGATGAGACAAAATTATCATTCTCCTTTTTTAACCTAAAATTGATGCCGCACAACAACAATGGACATTTTGGACTTTATACTACTTATTTCCTTTCAATTCCCATGTATACCAAACATTGGAATTGAAATTCTCAGTAATTTTATTCCTGTAAACCAAACATTGGAATTTAAATTCTCACTTTATTCCTAGTAATTCATCTCCCATGGAATTGCAATTCTTTTCCCACATAATTCCCTCCCTCCAACCAAACACCCCGTTAATATTTTATACAAACACATATACCATGCAATAAAATATCACTGTAAATAAAAATTATTATGGAATAACATTTTTTTTAAAAATAAAAGGTAAGGCTAAATGATATTACACTATTCTATTATATACATACATTTAAATATACAAACATGCATTGATGCATACACGCACGTGTATATATGTATGTATGGATTTTCTTTTCAATGGGCTAAACTATAACTTTTCTGGTCTGCAAAAAAAGTAACATATATCAAAGAAATTTATTAGTAAAAAAAAAAAAAGTTAAAACGTTTAAATGTGAGTCAAATGATAATGACAATTGTTCAAGCCTTCAAAATTCAACAATTAATGTATTCTTCATCAAATGATAACATAATGCAAGGTAAAAATAGCATTATTTTTTTTATTGTTATTCTATCTTTCTCACACACACATATAAAACATTCAGTATAAAGGATATTTATGTCATTTTAATACTTATTCTAGTTTTATTCCTGAAACGGACCAAATACCGTAATATATATAATTTCTAAAGTCTATTTTAGTGGTACAAATATATGTGGGTCAACTTCCGATTTAGATCGTGGTAAGGTGGATTCGAATTTTTCATAGTGAGACGAAAAAATTGATATATGTACATTCAAAACAAATAATGAGTGAATGAGAAGTTGATTCTCAAAGAAAATGGGTAGTGTAAGGGCACTCTTATGTGTGTGTGCACACACCTATAATTTTTTTCTTAAAAAATTGAAATATATATATATATATATATATATATATATATATATATATATATATATATATATATATATATATCAAAGGAAAAGAAGGTGAAGGTGAGGAAAGGGGTGAATCACTTGATTGTTACGAAGATGTTGTAGAGTATGAAGCAAAAGAAAGTAATGCAGGATACGGTGTTGAAGTTACTAATAAGTTATAAGTTCTGTTTCGTGATGTTCTCAAATTAAGCTCTTAGCCTAAAATAAGAGTTTATTTTGAAACGCTACCTAGGCTCTATTTGGCAAACTTAGCTGAAAAGATATAAGCTAGGAGTTGAAAGCTGAAAAACTATAAGCTCGGAGCTAAAAACTGAAGAGCTGTTAAGCTAGCTGTTATGATTGAAAGTGTTTGGTAAAATTAATTTTTTGATAAGTTGATAAATGTAAAAATAATAAAAATGAGATCTTCATAAAATTTAAATTAGTTTGTTTACATATTAAAATTTAACATATTGTCTTTAAAAAAAATTAACAATTTGAAATAAAACTATTAACATAATCATGATCTAGCATCTCATAATGACGTAGCAATATTGTTGCAAATTTAATAATAATAATAATAATAATAACAATAATAATAATAATAATAATAATAATAATAATAATAATAATATTATTATTATTATTATTATTATTATTATTATTATTATTATTATTATTATTATTATTTGCGGTGAAAGTTGCGGATAAAGGAGAAGAGAGAAAGGTTTTAATTGGGAAGGGTATATTATGTAATTTCTTTAAAATAATAAGGATAAAGATTGAAAAAAAAAAAAAAAAAAAGTTAGGAAGCTATGAGCTTATTTTGAAACGGTACCTAAGGTAGCGTTCCAAAATAAACTTTTATTTTAAGCTAGAAGTTTATTTTGGGAACATTACCAAACAGAGCTTATAGCTTATTAGTAGCTTAAAATAAGCTATAAGCTCTGCCAAACCGAGCCCTAAGGTAGTGTTTCAAAATAAGCTAGTAGCTTCCTAACTTTTTTTTCGCATATTTGTCATTATTATTTTAAAGAAATGACATCATTTACCATTTCCAATTAAAATCCTTTCCCCTTCTCCTTTATCCGCAACTTTCACCGCAATTATTATTATTATTATTATTATTATTATTATTATTATTATTATTATTATTATTATTATTATTATTGTTGTTGTTGTTGTTGTTGTTGTTGTTATTGTTATTGTTATTGTTATTGTTATTATTATTATTATTATGTAATAATGTAATAATAAAATAAAATTACAATAATATTAGTAATTAATAATATAATAATAATCAAAACAAAACTATATACAAAATAAAATATAAATTAAAAAACAAAAAAAAAAAACAAAAAAAAAAAACAAAAAGGCAAGAAAAAAAAAAAAAAAAAAAAAAAAAAAAACAAAGGGGAGTCACCCCTTTGTAAATGATGTGGGATCATTTTGATCCCACATCGAAAATGTTTTGGAAAGAGGAGCTCTTGAGCTCCTCTATATAAGAATAGTTACTCCTCTTCTAAACATAATTGCTTGCCCATCAACGTGTGCAAATATTGAGAAGCCAAAATGTTTTTATTTAAGAAGTTTTAGCTTAATGTCTTCTTATTTCAGTTTTTTTAAAAAAATAATTTATTAGGGGTATTTGAGAAAGATTAACTCAAAATATATGTGTTATTTTAGTTATTAGCAGTTTGGAGCAAATTACTTAGTTAATTAAATAATATTATCGGTGATAATCAAACAAGGCCATTATCGAATAATTATTATGACATTTAAAAAATTTATTGTATAGATATTAAAGTACTCAGAAAACATTTTTCTTTTTAATGTTTGGTTGTACAGAAAATTGTCTAAAAGAAAACTTATATTATTATTATATTATTATTATGTAATAATGTAATAATAAAATAAAATTACAATAAAAAATAATATTAATAATAATAATAATAATAATAATAATAATAATAATAATAAACTATACACAAAATAAAATTAAAATTAAAATTAAAATTAAAAAAAAAAAAAAAAAAAAAAAAAAAAAAAAAAAAAGACAAAGGGGAGGCTCCCCTTTGTAAATGATGTGGCATCATTTTGATCCCACATCAAAATGTTTGGAAAGAGGTGGTCTTGAGCTCCTCTATATAAGAGGTTCAATGCTCCTTTTCCAAACATAATTGATTGCCCATTAACGTGGACAAGTATTGAAAAGCCAAAAGGCTCTTATATAAAAAGCATTAATCGTTTCTTATTTTAGTTTTTTTTTAATTTTAAATTTTAAATTAATTTATTTATTTATTTATTAGGGGGTTTTGGGAAAAGATTAATCTTAATCTTTCCTCAAAATGTATATGTGTTCTTTCTGTTTTTAGCAGTTTGGAGCAAATTGCGGAGCTATTAAATAATATTTTTGGTAAAACAAAACGTTAAAATGGACGAATTTGTTAAAATTTTGGCAGATTTGTCAAATTTGTCAATAATCAAACATGAACATTATCTAATAATTATTATGACAATTAACAAATTAATTGTACTATAATAAAGTTCTTTTGGAAAGTAGGAAAATGATTTTTGGAAAATGAGTTATTTTTCCGAAAACATTTTTCTTTTCAATGTTTGGCTGCACCGTAGAAAATTGTCTATGTGTATTTGATTCTTTTTTTTTTGTGTGTGTGTGTGTGTGTGTATTTCATTTTTTTTTTTTTAGAAAATGTCTTTGTGTATTTGGTTCATTTTTTGGAAAATGAACATGAAGGTGTTAGCTCTAGATGAGGATGAACAAGATTGTAATGGAACTACCCATGTCGACTACAAAAGTTTCAATAATGTATAAATATAATCGATGATATTATCTTTTTTTTAATGGAAAAATTGCTATGGCTCTGTTTGACGGAGCTTATTTAGGAGCTTATAGCTTATTTTAAGTTACTAATAAGCTATAAGCTCTGTTTGGTAATGTTCCCAAAATAAGCTCCTAGCTTAAAATAAGAGCTTATTTTGGAACGCTACTTTAGGTAGCGTTTCAAAATAAGCTCCTAGCTTCCTAACTTTTTTTCCATCTTTATCCTTATTATTTTAAAGAAATGACATAATTTACCCTTCCCAATTAAAACTCTTTTCTCTTCTCCTTTATCTGCAACTTTCACCTCAAATATTATTATTATTATTATTATTATGAGGTTTGCTACAATATTGCTACTTCATTATGAGATACTAGATCATGATTATGCTAATAGTTTTATTTCAAAATGTTAATTTAAAAAAAAAAAAACAAAATGTTAAATTTTAATAGGTAAACAAACTAATTTAAATTTTATGAAGATGTCTTTTTTAGTCTTTTTACATTTATCAGTTTATCAAAAAGCTAATTTTACCAAACACTTTCAACCATAACAACTAGCTTAACAGATCTTCAGTTTTCAGCTCCGAGCTTATAACTTTTCAGCTTTCAGCTCCTAGCTTATAGCTTTTCAGCTAGGTTTGCCAAACAGAGCCTATGTATCTAGACAAAAAATGGAGTAATTTATTTTTTATTTTTTTTATCAAAACAGGAGGGGAGACCCCAAGAGAGACCCAATCTTAGGCACTCTCTCTCGCTTTACGGGCGCTCGTCACCCGCATTAAATTGTTAAGGACAAACTCTTCATTACAAGGAGAGCAAGTAGATGAGTAATTATATGCGAGTATAATTGATACCTATTGTTTATAGTTGAAGAATTTCTTAAAAGATAGTAAAAAAAAGTTAAAATATATCAAACATTTCAGATAATACTATATTAATATTTTTTTTTAATCTTGACTCAATAGCTTTTGACCTATATTGGGGGTGTTTGGTAAATGGTTGATAGTTGTTTGGGTTAGCGGATAGTTAATAACTGATTGTATTGGTTGATTATAGAAAAAGTGTTTGGTAAATTAGTTGTTTATTATTGACTGATTGCATGTAAAATGACATTTAAGGGAATGGATGCATTATGTTGTTTTAAGCTTTAAATATACATTTAGAAATAATTTACATTTATAAATTGTTGTTATTATTATTACTTATTTTTTGTTTTATTAAGAATAACATAATAATAATCCATTCAATAAAGAATTGGAATTAAAATTTCTAAACAATTTAGTTTCCATGCTACTTATCATTGTTGAAAAGATTGAAAGAAGTGAATTAAAGAACGGCTTGTATGTAAGATAATCATCTCATGTGTTCACAACATTAACATACAACATATTTGTAAAAGTTCACAGGTTATCACAAGCAGTAACAGATAGCAAAGAAGTACCTAAATTGCAGACTTATAAGTATCTGAGCTTCTATCACATGAAGGATGACAATCTGTTAGGTAATCTTCTATCACATGAATGGATACCTTCCATCATTAATTCATTATTATATATGTGGTTCAGTTCAGGCACTGTGTATATTCAATATTCTGGCAGAGATGCAGAGTGCAAAAGAAAAGAGATGCTGAGAAAACAAATGCTCAAAATCCATAATAATTTTACAAAAGCAGATTCAATCATCGAAACACATTAATAAATAAAGTTTACATGAGTCAAGAAAGCACACTGCAATGATATAACAAATTTGGCAATGAGAATATCAAGGGTACATAAATCTGCAAAGAAATTAGCCAAACCAAGATTCCATTTGTTTGAACTTTGAAGGCCAGTAACTACATATTTAAGACCTTTTAGGACAGACAGGAATTTTTGTTGCCTATATGTATCTGCATAAGACTATGCAAATCACCGGTGTTGCAGAGCATAATTTTCATTTGTTCATTGCTAGCTTGCTGCAAGTAATCCTACTTCATGTCAAACAAGCACCTTCATCTCGAAGTGATTTTTATCAACCCTCACCCGAGGGATGCCAAGAACACGACTTTCAATTTCTCAATTCACATCATCTTTCATTAGAAGTTTCAGTCATCCATGTCTGTTTCTAACATCCTCAGAATCGAATATGTAGTCCTCCTCCTCCTCCTCACTATTTATAGACACCCCACTCTGAAACCGTTTGTCATTTCTGCCATCTAGCCTAAGCCAATACTCTTCCTCGGAATCAATATCCTCTGCTTCAGAAAACGCTGAACCTCTCGAGTCAATAAACTCCCTTCTATCCACAAGATCATCCATAAAGCCATCAAAACTAGTAA